CCGGTGCCGGCTCTTCCAGCGCCCACCGAGCGCTCCCCCGGGGTGCTGCCAAACACACCCCGTGTCTTCTCGTGGTGCAGCGTTGAACCCCAGCACCCCCAGTGCTCTGCACTCCCTCTTTTCCCACGGGCTTGCCCTCTTGCAGACAAACCCTGGCCTGGACTCTCCTGTGGACGCAAGCTCAAGTCGCTTCTTCCCTCAAGCCCCACACGATGCTTGGCACCAGGGCAGGTCTGGCTGTCCCCTGTGACCTCTCCCTGCCCAGCACCCGTGTCCCTGCAGGTGCATGGCCCCGTGGGCCTGCAGCAGCAGATCTGAGCCCTGCTGGGACACGCACAGAATTTCCTCCAGAAGGTGCTTGAAGTGGAGAGGAGGAGTGTGTCTACCCTTCCACCCCCAGCACCCATGTACGTCTGTTAGCTGAGGGGCTGCAGGAGGCTGCTGATGATTTATGTATGTGCAGACGTGGGCTTTCTGGTGAGTCTATTATGAAGACAGCCCCATCCATCAGCCGCTCACAGACGTGGTCCCCAGCGGGACGTGGGACCGAGGAGAATGTCACCTCTGGCCCTGGCCTGAGCCCGACTGCTCCAGCCTGCCTGGCTGCTCCATCCTGCCCAGGGGTGCAGGGTTTATCCTTCCCACCCTCCAGTGAAACCAGAACGAGCAAAACGAACAACTGCTTATTGCAATTATAGTTGGCCAAGTCTATGGAGGGGCTTTAAGTCAGGCAGCAAAGCTGCAGGAGAAAAGCAGTTCTGAGGGCAAGGACTGGGATTTTGAGTGACTTCTCCCCAGCCAAGTATGCTCGTGTGGGTCTAGAGTGGATGTCCTCTTCCCCATAGCTTATCTGAGCCACCTCTTGAACCTGCATCCTCCTGAGGAAGGACTGCTCCATCCAGGCAGCCATTCGACCAGCAATGAGCTCTGAGCTCCTTGGATCCAATGTTTATTTTCAGCACCTTTATTGCTGGGCCAGGTGGATCAGAAGCAGCCCGTCTGCCAGGAGCTGGAGTTTCTTTATGCTGTTCCCTTCATTTCCCCATCTGTAAAGCAGTGAAAACAGTAGTAATGGGTGATTATCAAGGCAGATGGTTAGGATGCAGTTCCTGCTCGTTAAATACTGTAACATCACTGAAAAGCACTGGGGGAGCACCCAGAGCCTGAACACACGGATGCCCTCTGGTGCTCACCACACTGGGGGAGCATCCCTGTGTGTCCCCATCGGTGCCATTTACCCAGCAGAGCCACAGATCCCTCCTCGAAGAGCTGGAGGAAGCCACTGTGTAACCAGGGGACAGTTATTGGCAGTTTATCCCTCAGCCCACATCCCTGGCAGGATGCAGGAGGTCGGTGGCTCCCCATGGAGCATGTGTGCCCCCGTCCATGTGCACAGCCTGGGAGGAGGCGACAGTTCCTGCCACAGAGGGAGATGGGTTTTGAAGGTCACGGCCTCCAGACAGCCAAACCCTGTGGAGACCATGTCCTGGCATCCACCACCTGCTGGTGTCTCTGCTGCTGGTGCCAGCGGGTCTGCTGTTAGCAGAGATCCATCGGGGAGGGAGAAGGGACGTGGGATAATGTTACCCCAGCAGGGCTAGAGGCAAGAGGAGAATGCTTTTCCTGCATGGGAAAGGCCCTTGCATTCCAAATCTGCTGTGGCAGCAAAACGGGAGCTTTGGTGCTCTGTGTTGTTTTTGAACCATGCCAGAAGAGATTCTGATCTGTGCAAACCCACCCACCAGACACCAGAGTTAGGCCTGTTATTAGCAGTGCCCCAGAGGAGCAGGCACATGCATGCCAGCCTGTGGAGTGACCTAATGAGGGTCAGACCCTCTCTAATTTACTGCAGACCCATTCCCCCTCCTCCTCCTCCTCCCAGAAATGAGGGTGGATGGGGAACATCCATCACTGGCCCCAGCTTTTGGCACCACCCCCCCCTCGTGTTCATGGCTGCCCTCTCTCACCCCCATTGTAAAGGGTTATTCAATATTTCCCCTCTCAGGTGCAACCTGGCCCCTGTCCAGGAGTACTCCCAGGACGTGGGCATGAAGACAGACCTGGTGACTATGAACCCCTCGGTCATCCAACGGGCCTTCGAGGACCTGGTGAACGAGACCTGGAGGGAGAAGCTGCTGCAGAGGCT